TCTGTCTCTCTCTCTCTCTCTTCATCACTGGAGCATCTTGTTTGCAGACTCTTCTTCCCCTCTCTTTCATCCAATTCAACGTCTTATCATCTTTTGCACACACACACAAACACATGCACTTCCATTATCCTTGAACCTACAGAGACTATACCTTGTAATCCTCCATTCTATTACTTTTCCCATTGAAAGACCATGTATTGCAGCAATGTGAAAATGAAGGTTGAGATTGCTTTGACCCTGGAACCCATGGTGTGAGTCTGTGTGTGGAGTGGGGGCACATGGAAAAAAACAAACGTGACTATTGCCTTTTATTCAAAGTCAAACACAAAACAAGCAGACACGCAGCCAAATCAATAATACAATAAGAGTTTAAGACACAAAAGGGTCTTGTTGATAGAATGAATGTTAAATTTAGTTTGAAAATTAAGTCCTATTTTATATTCGGAAGTGCTCAGTGAATAGGCAGCAAATGATGACAATAACTGTGGATACAACAGACAGAACACAAAATGACAAATAAAACAGTAATAGAGACACTTATTAAAGTATTAAACCTATGTCAAATACAAAATATTATGTTTATGTATACTGTTTAAACACAGTGTAGAATAGATCACAGCTTAAAAGCTTTTGGTTTGTCATCAGTCACATTTTCCTTTTTTTTATTGTCCTTATATATTTTTTTTCCCCAAATGAATGCAACATGACGTAACTTAACATTAATGCTTCTCAGAGGATAAAGCCTTCTGACTTTGCACCACTGTGCCTATGATGTACTTACTGTAGCACAGCAAAGTTAGTTATAGTAGTTATTTGTATGCTATATTTTAATCAAATACAATCACATCAGTGAACCTCAAGCAATTGGCAAATGAGAAGTTGTGTTAGTGGGAATTCAGACAATCCAGTAAGTCCAGTTTGAGAAACTTTTTCGCAGGCTCCTGTACTGTTTTTTGCCGGATCCCCACCTGCTGTGCTGATGGATTGGCTTAATTCAAGTGGCTGTGAGAGGGCAGCGTTTTTTTTTTTCATACAGGGCTGTCGGTATGAACCTTACTGAACTGACAGCAGTTAGCAAGATTCAGACCAACCCTGCATCCCCTTGGCAACCTCTTTCCTCCTTCTGCTTAACTGATGATACAATCAGTCAAACTGCTGGTATTATTTACCATGGCAACAGCATTGAAGGCTGCATGTTTTGTTGTTATTTTTATATTTTAAAATATAATGAGGTCCAGCCTAATCTAAACTGCACTACATGGTCAGTACAGACTCATTACATCTTATTTAATTAATCTGCAGTCACTCGTCAGAGAATGAAAATCAGTGCGAAGATATCTCAATGTGTGAACAGACGCTTTGGTTTTGAGTGATTCATGCTATTCAGTACCTTTCTGCATTAATTGTACAGTATGTGAGTCATCAGACGTGTGAAGATTAAGAAGTAAAATATTTTAGTACTTAAGGATCAGATGAGTATTTTCCCTACTGCTAACCAGAAGCCCAATTAATAAAAATACACTTTTTTATTTATATTTCTGAATGTGTACAGGGGAGAAGTGGGGAAATATTTTATATGCTGAAGATTGCTTGGCTAATGGAGCAGCCCCGATGAGAAACATCCTACGCAGTACATTTACAGACAAGCAGGGAGGGGAATTCTGTGTGCAATAAATCACAAACAGAGCTTCTGTCAGAGGGCAGAAAATTCACAGTTTTGGCCGGCTGCACACGCCTGTATGACTGTGCCCCCCCCACCTTCCCATTTCTCTACCTCCCTTTGCAGTGGTGTCTAATTCAATAACAGCTTTTAATCCCAACGCAGGGGTTCCAATACTTCCCTGGCAGGAAACTGACATGTTCTCATTGGTGCCTCTATTTAGTCAAGTCGATTAGGCTTCTGTGTCAGACTGACAAAAAGCTTTGATTGTGATGAGAAACCCTCAACAGCATTCCAGGTCAACACTACCTTTTAGAAATAATACATGTAGGCTCGTGGTGAGAGTGTATTTGTGCATTCAGGTGTGTGATTAGTTCAGTTCTTGACCACAAAACCAAGAGGTAACACTGTGCTCTGTACACAGACACGGTAAAGTTTCAGTTTACCCATATTACAAAAATCTGGTTTTTCAATTCCCTTTGGAGGTATCTAACCAGACAGTGACGTCTACGGATTAACAGGGACACAAAGACACAAAAACAAATAAAACCATCTACCAAAGATTGACATATCTTTGGCTTTGCAAAACAAGCAGTAAAGTCCTAAAATGAATTCTAAAACTGGTGAACTATGTAACCAGTGAACGGCAGCAAGGATTGGTGAGATACGGTTGCTTCTCAAGCCTGGCAGCAGCATTTTGAATTCCAGTCTTTGGATGTTTCGCCTGCTGATACCAGAATAATTTCTAGATCTGCAAAGGGAGGGAAAAGTCTGATCTTGGTTAAATCTGTCAGTTGGACAAAAAAGGAAAAAAAAATAACACCCACTGAGGTTACAGGCCTATTTTTTAACGTTATTAGATAAGGCACCTAGACCAGGTGAGAAATGGTGCTGGGGAGAAAGGGTTATTAGAATTATTTGGGATTTGGAGTCACTCAACTGGATGAAATTTTTGGACATCCAATTTTTTATTTCAGTGAGGCAGGAAATGATACAGAACACGCCTGTGGTACCAGGCTTTAACAGGACATACTTTCAGCTATAGGGTCATGAGTCAAAAAAACCTGCTGTGCATTAGACACAAGTGAGAACCAAGAATTATATGAATACACAAAACATGTGGAACATCATGCAGTAATCAATATGAGTGACTCACATGCAGAGGTTTAAAGAACACACCATCAAATCTAAGTGAGGTACTAATGTAAAGACAAATTAAATCTGTCTCAGCCTCTGGTCAGTTCTGGCCTTGGGTTTGTCATCTACATCACATGCAGTGTTGGCCCTGTCCAGGAAACACATGTGCAGCCTGCAACAGTTTTTCCTGCTCATACTGAATTATGTCATGTACCATCCACTGCCTAGAAACCCCTTCTCCGTGTGGCTGAAGAATAGCAAACAAAGTGCAAGAAAAAGAAACCAGTGGTGTACAACAGCGTGATGTTAAAAAAAGGGTCCAAAATAACAATGTAGTATGACTGCTCCTGTTGAAATATATTACCCTGAAGAACATTAAGGCAAACCATCACATGTGTGCTGACATGGAGGAGCCCACGCTGGCTGACAGCGGCTCACAGTGCGACATTTCCTCCATGCCAGCACCATTTTGTTTGCAGCATCATATAAGAATGGATATCAGGAGGATTTATGTCAGGAAGATTTATTTTAATTGTATACAGCTCTGCCTGGGCTCCACCTGCATGAATGTCTCCAAAGAAAAGCCCAGTCTGGACTCAGTATCTGTCTGTATCTCTGCAGATTCTCCCTCCTTACTGACTAGCAGATTTAATTAACTAAATGCTGAGTCTTAAAACTGTGAACTCTGTCCAAGGTGAACAAAGTG